ACCGAAACGGGACGGCACGACCCATTTCTGTGTAGACTACCGAAGGCTAAACAATAAAACATCCTCAGACGCCTACCCTGTGCACCGGATAGACAAGCTCCTAGACAAAATGGCCAGAGGCCAGTACCTCACCACAATAGATCTGTGCAAGGGGTACTGGCAAATTCCATTAGCCGAGGACGCCTTCCACAAGTCGGCATTTGTCACCTCGTTTGGCCTGTATCAGTTTAAGGTCATGCCATTCGGGATGAAGAATGCCCCGGCTAACTTTCAGAGGATGGTAGATCGGCTACTGGATGGGTTTCAGGAGTATGCCTGCGCCTACTTGGATGATATAGCCATTTTTTAGCTGCTCCTGGCCCGAACACCTGACCCACATAGGAGCTGTACTAGACCGGATTAGGGAGGCCGGACTGACCCTAAAGCCCAGTAAGTGCCATATAGGAACGCGTAAAAACCTCCCCAAGATAGTATGGGCCCCAGAGTGTGAACAGGCCTTCCAACAGCTCAAGACGGCGCTCATTAAATCACCTGTACTTTCTGCTCCTGATCCAACTAAACACTTTCTCGTCCATACAGACGCTTCTATGTTTGGATTGGGAGCAGTACTGAGCCAAGTCGGAGCAGGTGGCGGCGAGCAACCCGGGGCTTATCTAAGCCGGAAACTTTTGCCCAGGGAAGTAGATACACTGCCATTGAAAAGGAGTGCCTGGGGGTGGTGTGGGCCCTCAAAAAGCTGCAACCTTACTTGTATGGACAACCGTTTACCTTACTCACAGATCACAACAAATTTGGGGCACTGCGCGTGCAATCTAATGTGCCACCAGATAGGAGAGGTGTGTTAAGTAGTACTATTCTTATCAGTTTAATCCCTGTTACGTCCCCTATCAGGGGACGTGTATATGGCATCAATTTTAGGAACCGGGAGATGGAAAAAGATGCTTGGTCGGTCCTCCTTCTTCAAATTTGGGGCACTGCGCGTGCAATCTAATGTGCCACCAGATAGGAGTGGCACTGTGAACTGGCACAGTATCCACTGTGAACCTGACACATCCGCTTTGAGACAACTAACTGCTATTCAATCTATAACAGTGAAAAAAGTTTTTTGGTTTTAAATACAAGCTATTGTGACACCAGTGAGTGAGTGGTGGCACTGGGCACAGTATCCACTGTGAGCCTGACACACCCGCTTTGAGACAACTAACTGCTATTCAATCTATAACAGTGAAAAAAGTTTTTTGTTTTTAAATGCAAGCTATTGTGACACCAGTGAGTGAGTGGTGGCACTGGGCACAGTATCACTGTGAGCCTGACACACCCGCTTTAAGGACACTGACTGCTATTCAATCTATAACAGTGAAAAAAGTTTTTTGTTTTTAAATGCAAGCTATTGTGACACCAGTGAGTGGTGGTGGCACTGGGCGTATCCACTGTGACCTATTTTTCCTTTGAGACAACTAACTGCTATTCAATCTATAACAGTGAAAAAAGTTTTTGTTTTAAATACAGCTATTGTGACACCAGTAGTGAGGTGGTGGCACTGGGCAAAATGGGCACAGTATCCACTGTGAGCCTGACACACCCGCTTTGGGACAACTAACTGCTATTCAATCTATAACAGTGAAAAAAGTTTTTTGTTTTTAAATGCAAGCTATTGTGACACCAGTGAGTGAGTGGTGGCACTGGGCTGAGTATCCACTGTGAGCCTGACACACCCGCTTTGAGACAACTAACTGCTATTCAATCTATAACAGTGAAAAAAGTTTTTTGTTTTTAAATGCCAGCTATTGTGACACCAGTGAGTGAGTGGTGGCACTGGGCACAGTATCCACTGTGAGCCTGACACACCCGCTTTGAGACAACTAACTGCTATTCAATCTATAACAGTGAAAACATTTTTTTGGTTTTTAAATGCAAGCTATTGTGACACCAGTGAGTGAGTGGTGGCACTGGGCACAGTATCCACTGTGAGCCTGACACACACCCTTTGAGACAAGTAACTGCTATTCAATCTATAACAGTGAAAAAAGTTTTTTGTTTTTAAATGCCAGCTATTATGACACCAGATATGAGTGGCACTGTGAACTGGCACAGTATCCACTGTGAGCCTGACACACCTGCTTTGAGACAACTAACTGCTTTTCAATCTATAACAGTGAAAAAGTTTTTTGTTTCTAAATCAAGCTATTGTGACACCAGTGAGTGAGTGGTGGTACTGGGCACAGTATCCACTGTGAGCCTGACACACCCGCTTTGAGACAACTAACTGCTATTCAATCTATAACAGTGAAAAAAGTTTTTTGGTTTTAAATGCAAGCTATTGTGACACGAGTGAGTGAGTGGTGGCACTGGGCACAGTATCCGCGACCTGACACACCCGCTTGAGACAACTAACTGCTATTCAATCTATAACAGTGAAAAAAGTTTTTTGTTTTTAAATGCAAGCTATTGTGACACCAGTGAGTGAGTGGTGGCACTAAGGGGTAAGCAGTATACGCAGCCTGACACACAGACGCCAGCCAACCAACTGCTATTCAATCTATAACAGGAAAAAGTTTTGTTTTTAAATGCAAGCTGTAGCTGGATGGCACTGGGCCAGTCCTGCAAATGTCTGTGAAATAAATACATTCGTGTGATCTGTTAGTTTCCTATGTGTTCTAAAGCCTTGTATTCTTGTGATTGTTCGGTAGTTTCGTTCCCTTAGTTTATTCGAATGAAACTACCGAACAACCAGACCTCCCCTGTGTGTGTCTCAATTACCCGTTGCAACATTGTTGCGAACGGTAATTGAACAGTAAGTAGCCGCCCTTTGTTCGGTATGGCCATTCACAAACGAACAATGCGGCCATTTTAAAACTCCCGAACAGCGGCGTCGAGTGTCTGGAACTAAAATCGGACACTCGAGTAGGCGAACACCGCTGAGACCTCCACAGCCCTGGTCCGTTCGGTTCCAAACTACCGAACGGCCCCTCGTTCGGTAGATAGAGAATACCGAACGAGGGATTCAGGCGAACCCTCCCTAGCCTCTATAGCTAGAGGTTTTCGTGTATTTTATTCCCTTATGCCAGGACCGACCGCAGGGCCCATTCACATGGAACCGAATTCGGCTATCTCAGTTCGTGCGGTCGGTCATTTTATTCCCTCCATACTTTTCCCGAACCCTGGTCTGATCTGGGTGGTTTTTGGATATGTTGTTCACCCAGATCAGGGCTACCAGGGGATGTAGGATTTAAAGAGGTACCCCTACGTTTAGGGGTACATCCAGAAACGGGGGGAATTGGTGTACTGGATAAGGGGATTATGATGCTGGCTGAGGGGAGGAGATGTGTGGGAGGTTACCAGGACAGGATTGGCTACTGTAATAATTACTGTAATCCCTCCCTTGCATGGGAGCATGCTTTATAAGGAGACTGTGATTAAAGGCTTGTCAGTTCTGCTCCTGAAACTGTGTGTCGTCCAGTTATTGGGATTGCTGTGGGGAGGTTGCTGTTATTTTACCTGCTGGAAACTTTGCCTATGGATTTATTATTTACTTGTTCCTGAGCCTCACTTGGATTATAAACGGAGACAACCTGGGGAATATTGCATCTCCGCTACATTGGTTGGCAGCGCTGGGATCCAGACTCACAAGGGAACAAGGACTAATGGAATACGGATGGAGAGTGATTATGCCAAGCTTAAAAGATCCACGCTAAAAGATCTCCTGGAAGCGAAAGGCATTGCAGCCAGCAACAAAAAGAAAGCAATCCTCATTGCAGAAGTGATGGCGGAATACCAGCAGGAGGACAGGGTAATCCCTGAGCAACAGAGTGCAGCAGATGAAAAAGAAGAGTTCCGGAGAGAGGTGCAGTTCAGGCTGTCCTTTTATGGAGAGAATCCAACAACGGATATTATATCCAGGACAATGTCAGAGGTACAGGAGTTTATACTGCGCCAAAGGCCACTACAGCAGCTGGAGAGGAATGCTACCACAACTACCATCACACAGGGTAAGACAAAAATCCCTTACCAAGCTTTTAAAACCTATATAGAAGCAGAGGAAGATATAGATGCTTTTCTCCAAGACTTTGAAAGGTTGTGTGCCTTGCATAATATTAGCCCAGATGAGTGGGTGCCTATTTTAGCAGGGAAGCTCACAGGGAAGGCGGCGGAAGCCTATAGAACTGTACCTGATGAGGAAATTCGGAATTACCGCCGAGTAAAAGAAGTGATCCTGGCCCGATATGCAATCACGCCAGAGGCATATCGGCGACGGTTTAGAGACCTAAAGAGAAATGACAAGGATTCTCATGTGGAATGGGCTTGCAAGTTGCATCGGGCCGCTCTGGGGTGGGTACAGTCTAATAAGGCTCGGTCCATGGAGGACTTATTGCAAATGGTGTTGTTGGAACAATTCTATGAGGGGGTAACAGGCGAGGTCCAGGAATGGGTGAGGGACAGAAACCCTACCTCCCTTACCGAAGCGGCTAGGAAGGCCGATGAGTACTTGGATGCACGCAGGCAGCAGAAACCAGCAGCCCCAAAAGCTATTTTTAAAACCTTTGGGGGAAACAGCTACAACCCAGCTCCACCGAGGCAACTACCACCACCACCACCCGCTGTACAGCCCCGGTTTCGCCAGCCCGCTTCTGGCCCCTGTCATCACTGCCAGAAGTGGGGACATTATAAAAGGGAATGTCCCCAGCTGAGGGATCGTTCTACCTGGATTCGCCCCGGCCCACCACCACCACCACCGAGAGCAGCCGCCGCCCATCACTACCAAAATATAGTGGCCACACCATATGGGTCAGCTGTTCCCATAACAACCGTGGAACAGTGGGAAGTACTACACGAGGCGGATCCAGTCCAGGCCAATGCTGATAACAGACAGCATCACAGGCAGACCGTATACTTGGAGGGTAAAGCAGTACAGGGCCTACGTGATTCGGGGGCTACCATCACCTTGGTCAAAAGTCATCTGGTCTCGGATGAAGCGAGACTAAGTAAAACTGTGGCCGTTGAAGGAATATTGACCCCTTAAGGACACGTGACATGTCATGATTCCCTTTTATTCCAGAAATCTGGTCCTTGGGGGGTTAAACAATTAATCTGTCAGTATTTCAGAACTGCTTGCAAAACATAATTGAAAGGAAGTCACAAGCTATGACAGTTTCTATGTATCAGGAAATGCCTAACCACAATGTATATGTGATATTTTGTAAGATTAGATTATTGAATGTAACAGCAGAAACTGCTTCCTCTTTTATGTATCTTGTGTAACCTTTTTGTAACCTTTTTGTAACCTTTTGTAACCAATATTCGTGACAAGTATAGTATAAATATAGTGAATCTTGAATAAACGATCAGAAGATTATGGAAAGCAAAGAGTGTGCGTCTGGTTAATACGCTTCCATGAAAATCTTCCCTGAATATTCAGCTGACAATCGAGGGTTGGAGAATAGTGACCAGAGGGACCGAGTCACCAGATTAGCAGATTTACCTTTCAGCTTGGTGTCAGAAAGTGGGATTGTAGCCAAAACCATTTTGGGTGAGTAGTAATTCCTTGTGTCTATCTTGACGCCCTGAATCTATGATCCCCATGGTTTTGTAAGTCTACATCATTTTAGGAAAGGTTATTTAGTATATGTGTTTTCTGTGACTCAGTTTTACATAAGGTCCCGTTAAATTAGTCTAGTAAGGGAACGAGACAGAGAGATATATGTATTTCTAGTAAGTGAACTAGAGAAGGTCTAATAAGAGAATTAGACAGATAAAAGGAAGTCTATAAAGTGATATAGACAGAGAATTTAGTATATAAGTGAATATACTACGATAGTGTGCACAGAGTTTCAGGTTCACCTTGTCCACCCTCTAATTGTCATTAGTTAAGTCTGGTTGTGAGTGTGAATAAGTGTTTGAAAGATTTGTCCTAGGAATGGGAAATTACCATGTAAGAATATGAAGTAGTTAACTTTTCTTGTTCATATGTATTTTATGCTTAAATAAGGTTTATAATCATTAAGTACTGACTGTAAGGATATGAAATAGTTAAACTCTTTTTGCTTTATATGCTAGCCCTGAAAATATACTCACTGAGAATCTTGTTAAAGCACATTTGTAGTGTCCATGTCTTTATTGCAAACAATGATTCTCCATTAACTGGGTGATTGTCTATATTGGGGACACACTTTGGTAAATTAGTAGTGTGTCCACCCTGAGTCAGCAGTATGGGAAATGTAAGTTCAGGTCCTGAGTGACCAATATATATACATATATATATGATGGCAGTACTGTATATTAGACAAGAACTGACTCGCAGGTTGTACCTGATAGACCTACTTAAATCTTTTTGCTTTATTCTTTCTGTTGCATAGAAGTATAAGTTTATTACTCTGTTTTATTGCAAGTTATTTCACATGGGATCTGTGTGCCTGGAATGATTGTTACTTTAATACCATAAGCCCACTACACTTATTATGAGAGTGGGATAGTGTAAATGTGTTACATTGTTTGCATGATGAGCTCAGTATTTTTATAACTGAGACAAAAAGTCATTTCATTAGTATTTGAAAGTTAATTCCCCATATGGGATTGATTGTATAGAAACACCAATCAGCACATCTTCCCTGCCCTGTGTGTTTGTTGCAAAGGATCCATACCGTTAATATGATTTTTGTTTGTAAATAAGAGCAACATTTACATTTTCAGCGGTCCAACACATGCTTCATTTTGCGCTGTAAACTAACCTTTTTATTGCAACAGATTCCTTTTAAATGATCCAGTGTAATAACTACTGCATATGTTTTGTGTCTTCTATGTCTCACATTATATGTGTTCTGTTCTTTTAAATTGTGGTATATAGCCTGGATCAGAGATTATGGACAAAGGTTTCTACCTGTTTTACTAAGGCTCTTGGAGACTGACCGGTCTAAGGTTTGCCATGCCTTTTAAACATGGTATAGAATAATTTTTTTTTTAAGTCTCTGAGAGTTCTGTAAGATTCTGGTGAAACCATGTCTGTGTAATCTGGTCCAAATGTTTGCTCAATTTCTATAAGATTTAAGTTGATGCAGTATCATCTCAGATTAGTTAATGGAAGTTTCATACAAATATTTGAGTTATGAGCGCGCTATATAAATGCATCCTTTCTCTATATACAATACTATAGTAGATTAAAGTAATGAAGTTAATAAGAATTAAAAAAAAAAAAAAGTATACATAAGAATCCCTAAAATAAATCTAATATAAACTAAAATTGGTATACCTTACAATAATATGTTCTGAGTACAGCTGTTAACTTATTATTCTGTGTAAATGGTGATTGTGATAATGTGTGAAGTGTGCAGCTTAACTGGAAAGTGGTTTAATTTATATGTTGCTGTGTTGTTTTAAATTATATTTGAATCCGTTTGTCTCAGTTTAATGATACTGATAAAAATGCCAGTCAAATAACCTAGCAAATAACGGTTTTATTAGCTGTTGAATACTAGCATTCTGGCCAAGAGTAGTTGGAGTTGGAGTAGTTCTATGAGCTCAGAGAGGCTCTATGTTGTGGTCTGATATAGTTATATGGGAATGGAGATTTGGAGGTATCAGTTTAAGACTGCTTTCATATTGTGTCTACCTGTGTTTCCTAGGAGGGACACAGAGTGTGTAGTTGTGTGCTCATGAATGTGTTTTCTGTATTGGCATATCTGCTGGGTACCCGATACGTGTATCTACTACGTCTGTTTTGTGAGATGTCTGTTTTGTGAGATGACATGTAATATTACATTGAATGCTGAGTATGAGTTATATGGTTTGAAATGAATTGGTGTGTTATGTGTTTTATGTATTTTATTGTCCATTGTGTAGGAATTTAACTAGCAGAGTGATTTGCATATCATTAACGCAAGCATTTAGTGTTTTTACAAAAGGTGAAATGCTGTCCAGCCGGCTAGAATGAAACAATTGTATGCTATCGCTCATGGAGCACGAAAAGCGCTTGTTACATCCCACGTGAAAGGGGCCCTGCAAACTTCTGCTGTTCAAATCGTGGGTCCACGTTTCCATTTGCAAACTGATTAATCCTGAAAGTCATTCTTTTACTGATAAAAAGGATTGAATGGACAAGATGTCTCTCCCTCATAAAGGAGTTCTAATAGGGGAGTATTGTCCAGCTCAGAGTTAACTCTACTTTTAAAGTATATTGCATTGTTTGTGTCAAAGTAAGATTCATCTAGTATGCCTCATTGATTATGGGGTAATAATAACATGGTATTTTTATTGGAGATTAGACAATTTCTGAAATTTATAAGTGAGGTAATTTTAATCTCCTAAACTACTGTATTATATTTGTATGGGTAAATTGAAAGCATTTTGCAGATCCAGAAGAGCATTAATAAATAATATAATAATCTCACTACGTGCCAATTTATGCAAAGAGGCTATCCAAAGTACGCACTAACGGGTTAAACTTGTTTTCTTGATAAGCGTATAACATTTAGTTTTGTGGTTAGACTTTTGATACTCAATTTGAAATATGTCCCAATTACATCCTTGCATGGCACCAGGTACAGGTAGCAATATGTGTTTTAAAAATTTGCAAGGTCTTAGTGTTTTCAATATATTATAATAATGGAAAAGTACCTAACCGCATGTCTGCATTACGCTCATGACACAGACTATCAGTATTGCAAGCCCTATATGAAGGCTATGCTTTCATTGTTGATGTATATACCCCTAGACAACCTTGCTTTATATACAAAATGTAACTATCCATTCAACCTTTAAAAGCTTATTAATATTATATCTGTGTGGTACACAAAGAGGGGGTGTGAGTTAGGTAATCCTATCCTGCATATGGAATAAAGGCAGAGGTAGAGGATTTGGTCAAAGGGTCTAACTTTTGTAGAGGTAACAACTTCAGCATTGGTGGAACACACTGTTCTAATTGTGGATAGCAGGGTCACTGGAAAAATGAGTGCCCAAACCCACCCCCACAGATTCCTAAATACCAACCATAGCTTCCAACCTATACCCACACCCAACAACCCCAGCCTAATACACAGAGGGTTCATGTTTGTAATATTTTATATAGGTTTAGGTGTTAATCCAAGAGTATTGAATTATTCGGGATTATTAAAGTAATTAATTTTGAATATCAAATCAAGGTTCCGGTTTAGGAACAGAGTTTTATTGGGAATTATCCCCATATGTATATGTTAGTGTTTTAACATTCATCCTAACAAGGATTTATAGAGTGAGTACTACTCTCATCCGTACAAAGGCATTCCAAAGGGGTATTATGTAAAACTTTATAGAAAACAGATTGCAAATATAAGAGAAGTACATGTTACACAAATTAAGGGTTTAACCTTAATCTCTAATTTAAGTTTTAGCCTAGGTAATTAATTAATGTTGTATTGATCCTTGTGTTTGTATGATTGTAGAGACCGTCCTGGAGTGTTTGTGCCGCCTGATTTCTGGGACTACACACCAATCTCTCTGGCTGACCATGCAATAAGTATTTTGCAACTACATATGTTTGGTCATTATCCATGCAGGCCAATGAAACTGAGAGGACATAAACTTTGCACGCAAGAACCTGGAAAGTCCTGAAGGTGCAGTGCTGTCTAATACCGCTGGTTCTGTAATAACCCTTTCAACCATTGGGGTGTTGCACAGAGCTTTGTGGTGAAAATCCAGCAAACAAAAGAAGAACTAAGAACTATATGGAAGCTGACATTGTCTTGTTGTCAGCCATATTGCTACCCTTAGCCATTTTTATGGAACAAAATGTCTGGTGTCTAAACTGATTTCTTTATACTCTGTGAAAGACTTATTCTATTTTTCTGAACTATGCTGAACTATTGAACTATTTTTATTTTTATTTTTGTAGAGTTAGCCAGAGAGAGAGGAAGTGTTAGCTGACCCAGGGATGGATGTACTATGTGTGTTTTTTATATATGTTGAGTGTGCCAGGGATGGATTCCCATGTTTTGAGGAACTGCGTGAGGATATGACTGGTTTTGACTGGACTTTTGGAATAGGGAAATGGTTAAAAGATATAGGACGCAAGGTCCTGGTTGTGCAATAATATAGTTGCTCTAAGCCCAAGTTCCATTCGGTCTTAAACATCCATTTTCTATATATCTGTCTGCAAAAGTATTAAGTGTTTTTGTTTTGTTTTTTTTCTGCTGAGTTTCTGTTTCTTGTAGACCACATGATTGCTTGGGAATGCCATAATGTGGAAATTTCTCTGTCTTGGGAGAATGTTAACCGATGATATGAGCAATACATATTGCTCAAAGAGGGGTAACAATTGTGATTATTGGGGCTCAGTTGGATGGAACACCAGGACAGATTGGGGTTATACCTTAAATATTGAAAACCCCAGTCCTGGAGATCAAGGTATTTATATTCTTGTTAATCCTCTAAAGCCCCACATTCAAACCCTTGGTGATATGATGGCCATAGCAGATCCCACGTTTGGAGATACCACAGCGTTAGAAACAGGGTATGCAGATACAAACCTATGGCTGGAATGGTTGAGATATAATGCCCATTCCAGCAATAGGTCAAACTGTTATGTATGTGGTAGTGCCAGACCTCATCTAGGAACTGTACCCTTACATGTCCCTGATGAGTACTGGGAATGTTTCCTAAGTTTGTTTTCAGGTATTACTGTTAATACTACAGAATGTGAAGAATGGAAAAAGGGTCACCCTATTGGTGAACCCAAGTTTAATTTAAATGATGTTGTCCCAGTATATCCTGGTAATTATACTTGTTTTCAGGGAAATAATAATGGTAAGGTGGGTACACAATTTGATAACTTTTCTTCAGGATTCTGCTCCGCCTACAGTAATATTACCTTAGTGAATCAAACACAATCTATATAAAATACGTTCTAGACTCCCCACCCCCTGGAGAGGAGAATGTGCCCCAGCCAAAATAATCATGCCCCTCCATATATTTGGCGACTCTCTCCCTGAAATTAAGGTTGTAACTGATTCCACAAGAAGGAAAAGGGAATCCCCACAAGGTAGTTTCGACCCACATATCTATCTAGATGCCATTGGTATTCCAAGAGGGGTTCCTAATGAATTTAAAGCTAGAGACGAGGTGGCAGCAGGATTTGAATCAATATTTCCCATTATAACAGCTAACAAGAATGTTAACTGGATTAATTATATATATTATACACGAGATGCATTACAAGGTCTTGCTGAACAATTACAGGCTACCTCACAAATGACTTTCCAGAATAGAATGGCCCTTGATATGATTTTAGCAGAAAAGGGAGGAGTCTGTAAATTACTTGACTCCGGTGTTTGTTGTACCTATATTCCAGAGAACACTGGCCCTAATGGTAAAGTAACCCTAGCTATAAAGAAATTGGAAGACCTATCCATAGAAATGAAGAGGAATTCAGGTATTGATCACCCATTGGCAGATATGTTTAAGTTTGACAGTATCCTAGACTGGCTAAAGAATATTGCAATACTTATTGTTATGGTTCTGATCCTTGCTCTACTTGTTTATGCTATTTTCAAGATTATTGTATTCTGCATTTACAAACATACACGCAACACTGTTCCTGTAAAATCCCCAGCTTGCTATGATGAGTATCTCCAAATGTATACACATAACCGAAGCAATGGTGAACATGCTGATACAGATCTATAAGTTTGTGGTGCTGGTCAGATGCCTAGTCCTATGCTATGGGAATAGTGGCCGAAGACATAATGAAAGACCTGCAGGATTGGCTAGCAATCCTGAATATACCATGGCAGATGGCTGGTTGTCTGACCAGGACTCCTTAAATAGGGTATGAGCAAGATATTGCTCAAAGAGGGGGAAATGAAGGAATATTGACCCCTTAAGGACACGTGACATGTCATGATTCCCTTTTATTCCAGAAATCTGGTCCTTGGGGGGTTAAACAATTAATCTGTCAGTATTTCAGAACTGCTTGCAAAACATAATTGAAAGGAAGTCACAAGCTATGACAGTTTCTATGTATCAGGAAATGCCTAACCACAATGTATATGTGATATTTTGTAAGATTAGATTATTGAATGTAACAGCAGAAACTGCTTCCTCTTTTATGTATCTTGTGTAACCTTTTTGTAACCTTTTGTAACCAATATTCGTGACAAGTATAGTATAAATATAGTGAATCTTGAATAAACGATCAGAAGATTATGGAAAGCAAAGAGTGTGCGTCTGGTTAATACGCTTCCATGAAAATCTTCCCTGAATATTCAGCTGACAATCGAGGGTTGGAGAATAGTGACCAGAGGGACCGAGTCACCAGATTAGCAGATTTACCTTTCAGCCGTCAGGGTAGCCGGGGGAGCAGTGTACCGGCTACCTACAGCAAGGGTACATTTACATTGGGGAGCGGGGGCAGGACATGTGGAGGTGGGGTTGATGCCGCAGTTACCGGCGGAGGTTTTATTGGGGAACGATCTGGGGAGGCTCACATCTGCTTTTGAGCCCCAGACGCCCACCACAGGAGAAGCTCATCCTGTGGTCACCCGTCAACAGGCCCGCACCCAGGACTACAACACACTTCCGGAGGTTCAGGTAAGAGACCCTTCCCCTTCCCTTGACTGTGTCCCCTGGGCCCCTCCTAACGAATTTGCAGCAGAGGTAGTGACTGACCCCACCTTGCAGGTATACAGAGACAAGGTGACAGCAGACCCTCCGGAGGGAGAGGGGGAGAGATTTGTCTGGGACAAGCAGCTTTTGTACAGGGAGACAGACAAGCAGATTGAGGGGTCAGACCCAATAGTGACGAGGCAGCTAGTGGTGCCGCAGCGGTACCGAGCAGAGCTACTCCGGATAGCGCACGATATCCCGCTATCCGGACATCTAGGGGTCAGCCGTACTAGGTATCGACTGACCCAAAATTTCTTCTGGCCAGGGATCAGCCAGGAAGTGCGCCGGTATTGCACCACCTGCGACACCTGCCAGAGGGTAGGGAAAAGGGGAGACCGGAGGAAGGCGAAGCTACACCCCTTGCCAATAATTGAGGAACCGTTTAGCAGAATAGCGGTAGACTTGATAGGTCCCCTCAAGAAAGCCAGCCCGTCAGGCAAAAGGTACATTTTAACGGTAGTAGACTATGCTACCAGATATCCAGAGGCGGTGGCTCTGACCAACATTCAGGCTGAAACGGTCGCGGATGCCCTCATGCAGATATTCTCCCGGTTGGGATTACCCAGGGAGATTATCTCGGATCAGGGTACCCAATTTACCGCAGAATTCACCCAACACCTCTGGAGGATCTGTGGCATTAAGCCTATTATCAGTGCCCCTTACCACCCCCAGACTAATGGGCTCTGCGAACGGTTCAATGGCACATTGAAACAAATGCTCCGAACCTTCGCAGAGACCCACAAGGACTGGGAGCGGTTCCTGCCGCATCTCCTATTCGCTTACCGGGAGGTGCCGCAGGAATCCACGGGGTTCTCCCCGTTTGAACTGCTGTTTGGGAGGAGGGTCAGAGGCCCCTTAGATCTTATAAGAGAGCATTGGGAGGGAGACCGGAGCGCAGATGGCACCCCCATCATACCATATGTGTTGGCTCTCCGAGACCGCCTGGAAGCCTTAACCAGGACGGTAAGGGAAAACCTTCAGGCGGCACAGACTCGCCAGCGCACATGGTATGACCGGGGAGCCAGGGACCGTAGCTTTCAGGTTGGGCAGAAAGTGCTGATTTTAAAGCCTGTCCGACATGACAAGCTACAGGCCGCCTGGCAGGGACCTTATAGGGTGGTGGAACAGAGATGTGACACCACCTATATAATTGGCTCCTGTACAGGGACGGGAGGGCGACGCATGCTCCATGTGAACATGATGAAGCCCTACCAAGCACGCTCCGAGGAGGTAACCGCCATATGCGCGCCCAATTCAGATGAGTCTGACAGCTTACCACTCCCAGATCTGCTGGAAGATGGGCAGCTGTCTGGGGATTTAGGGGAAGTCACACTGGGAGACCGGCTGAGCCCACAGGAGCGCATCGAGGTACGGCAGCTGTTGGAAGAGAAACGAGACACGTTCTCTAACGTACCTGGGTACACCCCTCTGGCCACTCACCGGGTAGAGACCCCAGGGCAATTACCGATGCGTCAGACCCCCTACCGCATCCCCGAAGCGGTAAGGGAAAACATGCGCAAGGAGATCGATGAGATGCTCCAACTGGGGGTGATTGAGCCCTCAGATAGTCCCTGGGCTTCTCCGGTAGTACTCGTACCGAAGCGGGACGGTACGACCCGCTTCTGCGTAGACTACCGGAGATTAAACGAGAAAACGGTGTCCGATGCATACCCTATGCCACGGATAGATGAGCTACTGGACAGAATGGCCAGGGGTCAATACCTCACTACCATTGACTTATGTAAGGGGTATTGGCAAATCCCCCTGGCCCCAGAGGCCATCCCGAAGTCGGCCTTTGTCACCCCATTTGGCTTGTACCAGTTTAAGGTCATGCCATTTGGGATGAAAAACGCCCCAGCTACTTTCCAGCGGATGGTAGACCGACTCCTGGATGGGTTCCAAGACTACACCTGTGCCTACCTGGACGATATTGCCATTTTTAGCAATACGTGGCAGGAGCACTTGGCCCATATAGGAGCGGTTCTAGACAGGATTAAGGAAGCTGGTTTGACATTGAAACCGGCCAAGTGCAGCATAGGGATGGCCGAGGTGCAGTACCTCGGACATAGAGTGGGTTGCGGCAAACAGAAGCCCGAACCAGCCAAGGTAGAAGCCGTGGCCCAGTGGCCCACTCCTAGGACTAAAACCAGGTGTTAGCCTTTCTAGGGACCGCTGGGTATTACAGGAAGTTTGTCCCTAACTATAGCGCCCTCGCCAAACCTCTCACTGACCTTACTCGGAAGAATTTGCCCCGCCAGGTGACCTGGACCCCGGAGTGTGAGCAGGCATTCCAACATCTGAAAAATGCACTGATAAACGCTCCTGTCTTGGCAGCTCCCAATCCAACTAAACGTTTTCTTGTTCACACAGACGCTTCTATGTTTGGATTGGGAACAGTACTGAGCCAAGTCGGAGCCGATGGCGGAGAACACCCCGTGGCTTACATCAGTCGCAAGCTGTTACCCAGAGAAGTAAGCTACGCCGCCATCGAGAAGGAATGCCTGGCTGTGGTGTGGGCCTTAAAGAAACTACAGCCGTATCTATATGGACAGCCTTTTTCGTTACTCACGGATCACAACCCGTTGGTCTGGCTAAACCGGGTGGCTGGGGACAATGCCAGGCTGCTGCGCTGGAGTTTGGCGCTGCAGCCTTTTGACTTTAATATTCAGTACCGCCTGGGTAAACAGAATGGGAATGCCGACGGGTTGTCGAGACAAACTGACCTGGAAAAATGATCCGTGAGTCCCCGGACATCCCCAAGCCGATCCGTGTTGGATCAGACTGTGTATGCCGGCTTGTGGGCAAGGGGGAGCAGTGTAGCGAATGGCACTGGGCTGTCCTGCAAATGTCTGTGAAATAAATGCATTCGTGTGATCTGTTAGTTTCCTATGTGTTCTAAAGCCTTGTATTCTTGTGATTGTTCGGTAGTTTCGTTCCCTTAGTTTATTCGAATGAAACTACCGAACAACCAGACCTCCCCTGTGTGAAGCGTGTCCTCAATTACCCGTTGCAACATTGTTGCGAACGGGTAATTGAACAGTAAGTAGCCGTCCTTTGTTCTCGGGGGTGGCCGCCATTCGACAAACGAACACGTTTTAAAACTCCCGAACAGCGGTGTTTTGCCGTCGAGTGTCTGGAACTAAAATCGGACACTGGAGTAGGCGAACACCGCTGAGACCTCCACAGCCCTGGTCCATTCGGTTCCAAACTACCGAACGGCTCTCGTTCGGTAAATAGGGAATACCGAACGAGGGGATTCAGGCGAACCCCCCCTAGCCTCTATAGCTAGAGGCTTTCGTGTATTTGATTCCCTTATGCCAGGACCGACCGCAAGGCCCATTCACATGGAACCGAATTCGGCTAGCTCTGTTCGTGCGGTCGGTCATTTTATTCCCTCCATACTTTTCCCGAACCCCTGGTCCGATCTGGGTGATGTTTGGATATGTTGTTCACCCAGACCAGGGCTACCCGGGGATGTATGATTTAAAGGGGTACCCCTACGTTTAGGGGTACATCCAGAAATGGGGGGAATTGGTGTGCTGGCTAAGGGGATTATGATGCTGGCTGAGGGGAGGGGATATGTGGGAGGTTACCAGGACAGGATTGGCTACTGTAATAATTACTGTAAATCCCTCCCTTGCATGGGAGCATGCTTTATAAGGAGACTGTGATTAAAGGCTTGTCAGTTCTGCTCCTGAAGCTGTGTGTCGTCCAGTTATTGGGATTGCTGTGGGGAGGTTGCTGTTATTTTACCTGCTGGAAACTTTGCCTATGGATTTATTATTTACTTGTTCCTGAGCCTCACTTGGATTATAAGCGGAGACAACCTGGGGAATATTGCATCTCCGCTACACAAGCTATTATGACACCAGATATGAGTGGCACTGTGAACTGGCACAGTATCCACTGTGAGCCTGACACACCCGCTTTGAGACAACTAACTGCTATTCAATCTATAACAGTGAAAAAAGTTTTTTGTTTTTAAATGCAAGCCATTGTGACACCAGTGAGTGAGTGGTGGCACTGGGCACAGTATCCACTGTGAGCCTTACACACCCGCCAAGAGAGACAACTAACTGCTATTCAATCTATAACAGTGAAAACATTTTGGTTTTAAATGCAAGCTACTAGACACCAGTGAGGAGTGGTGGCACTGGGCACAGTATCCACTGTGAGCCTGACACACACAATCTCTTTGAGACAAGTAACTGCTATTCAATCTATAACAGTGAAAAAAAGTTTTTTGTTTTTAAATGCCAGCTATTATGACACCAGATATGAGTGGCACTGTGAACTGGCACAGTATCCACTAGAGCCTGACACACCTGCTTTGAGACAACTATTAACTGCTTTTCAATCTATAAATAGTGAAAAAGTTTTTGTTTCTAAATCAAGCTATTGTGACACCACAGTGAGGAGTGGTGGTACTGGGCACAGTATCCACTGTGAGCCTGGACACAATCTTGAGACAACTAACTGCTATTCAATCTATAACAGTGAAAAACGTTTTTTGGTTTTAAAATGCACGCTATTGTGACACCAGTGAGTGAGTGGTGGCACTGGGCACAGTATCCACTGTGAGCCTGACACACCCGCTTTGAGACAACTAACTGCTATTCAATCTATAACAGTGAAAAAAGTTTTTGGGCTTTTAAATGCACGCTATTGTGACACCA